TATTTAAATAAATTTTTTATTTGATTTTACACACATACATAAATATTAACAATCGATAAAGAAAAAAAGATATGACCAAAAAAAAAATTCTACTAGTTTTACTTTCTTTTTAATGATTCATAATTAAATTTCTGATGTCGAGCAAACAAAGTATTAATATTTTTAAAAGATATTACACTATAACTTTTTTTGAAAATTTCAAAATACTAATTTCAGTAATAATTTCATATTCCTCTCTAAAACAGCTTAACTTTGAGAATACTCATAGACGTTGTCTTCATGAAAAATGCATGAAAATTTTCATGTGGAAAAATTTCATTAAATATAGTATGAACTGTTTTATATAACATTTAATCATCAACATCTTAGATATTGAAAATGCAGTGAATTTTCACAGATACACATATTTGCTGTGAGTAGAGTCTTATACTTTACAATTCTAAATTCCCAAAATTTTTTTATAACATACTTGTTATACTTCAGTAGAAATATTAATAATGACTAATAATAAAATAAAATTTCAAGCCCTTAATTCATGATTAAATGATATAAATTTTGAAAAAAAAATATTTTAGAATGAACATTTTTTACATAGAAAGTCAATAAATTTTTTAATTTTAACACTACCCTAAAAAATTTAAGTAGTAATTACTTGGAAATAGTATTAAATCAATGAAGTAAAAATTTTAATACAAGACATACGATAAAAGGTTAGAAAAAAATCACTCAAATCAAGAACAAAAATAAGGCCATGGGTAAAATATGAAAATAAGATCAGAGAGTATTATTATTATTGGATAAGTTTCTACATTGAGCATGTTATACTAAACTTGTGGATTTACTAGCAATATAAAGATTTCCTTAGGATTAAAACGTATGTAACTTTTTAGGGTTTTTCTAATTAGGATAAAATTTTATTGTTAGGGATGGTAATAAGCTCTAGAAGATAATGGTCAAGTGGCCATTACTGCTAAATGCCAAGTTGATAATAGCAATTACAAGGTTTACTTTTCATCAAATTGACCGCCAAGGAGGCGTAAGTAGCTTAGTATATTACTGGTGAAGTTTCGTAAATCGTAGCATAGAGGTGCTATGGGCGAAGAGTCCGAGAACATTTTTCTAGTGTTTATAGGAGTGATAGTGTGAGGTAGAAAGACCTTGACTGACTAGGGTTTGTATTAAAGTCTCGGCATTAAGAATATAAGAATGATGAGAGCAATATTTTTTGATAATATATCAACTCTCTGTTTCTCTATAGCATTTGCCATTATGATGAAATGACCCGAACATATATAACATCTCAAATACCTCAGCATGCTTGTCTAAAGATTATAAGCAAGCAATTGGTGTTGAACATGCATTATCATCTGTTTTACATTAATTATAGGTAAGGCCTGCTAAAGTGTGACACTAGTGACTTAACTAAAAAATGTAAAACAAATTAGTGAGAGTTGAAAATGTGTTGTTTATCTTGAAGAAGATATTTGAAGAATAGCATATGAGAAATAGTGAAAATTGTGTATATTTCAACTCTCTTTTCCAAATTGCGCTCCGTTTTCAACACAAATTTTCATCTCGTCAACATAAGACTCATTGACCTCCATTTCTAATTTAAAGAGTAAAGAATATATGTACCTCATACATTTGGTGATGACATTACATTTCCTAGCCATTCCAACCTACTGGTCAACATGCTTGCGGCAACCATATCTTGTTTGAAATCGATGATAACCACATCTGCAAACAAAAACTATGTTTTCGTGTGTAAATAACAGATTGATTTGTAGACTTTGAAGATTTATCCTCCACCATTAATAGTTCATTTATCTCATAATTTGATATTCTAGAGCCTCTACCAGATTCAGATCATACAACTCTCTTATTTACTTTTTTTGTTTTAAAGTCAATTTCTCTCTCTACATGTGCGTATGTTTCTACTTCCCCAAGTTTTTTTTAGATCCTAGTAAGAAGTAATTTTAAAGTCAACATTTACAAGACCTCTTGACTTTTACGATGACTAAACCTAAACCTCTTGGATTAGGATTTCAATCCAAGAGGATTGAAAAACTTCACAAAATTTCACAAAACGAAAAAATTTTGTTTTGTGCCTTCATCAATTTCAAGAAAGCTTTTGACACAGTACCTCGTGAGCTTCTATGAGAAAGATTGCAAACGATTGGAGTATCATCATATCCCTTAGCAGCTATGGCCACCTTCAGGCCAAGATCAACACTTCTCAAACCGAAGAGATTTTGAGTACCATTGGAGTCACTCAAGATTGTACTCTCTCTTCTACTCTATTTGAAGTTTTCATAGATGAAATAGAAAGGTGGTTAGAGGATTGTGAAAGTGAAGGTGTCAAACTTAAAATCAATAGTTATTCTTGTGGGCACTAAATCCAAGATTTTTTTCTTGTACAAAGGATTAGAGTTAGAACAAGTGAGGAGTTACAAATATTTAGTCATTGATTTCTTCCACAATTATAGTCGGGCACTTTGTATGCAAAAGAGAGTAGAAGCTGGTTTTGAAGCTCTATATTCATTGCTAAATAGGTGTAGATGAGCTCATCTAGTGTCTTGGAGTCTGAGGAAATTTTTATTCAGAAGCTTAGTGTTTCCAGTTATCTTATATGAAACACAAGTGTGGGATCCTGGTTGTAAGAGTACGGGTTTGTAGCATTTGGAGAGGGTGCAAAAGATCTTCATACAAGAAGAATTGGATGTGTGGACCCAAATTTCATATGCTTTTCTTCTTGCAGAAACAGGTTGTCTATCGCTGAAGCTTTCTTCTTGACTATCATTTACATCCAATGAGTGAGATCTCTTGATGCCTCTTGACTTCCTCTTCAAACTTTGCGTGCCACACGTTTCAAGAGACGGTTTGCAGATGTGATGATGATGACTTGGTTTTTGAGGTGGAAAGTGACAGAACTCGATTGGATTTGCAACCTATGACCATTCACGAGAGTATTAAGAAGTAATTTCTTAGCATTATTTGGAGCATATGAGACACTAAGATAGAGTTTTATCAACTTCATGTGAATCCCATGCTTGTTTATTGCGAGCAAGGATATCTACTTCCGTAGATCTGTACATATTTACTTCATATTATTGCTCGGCATAGAATAAGATCTCATAGTCTTGGAATTGAGGAAGTGTGTTGGTTGAAAATTGATAGAAGTGAACATGTTTGTAGGCTATGTGATGGAAGAAAAGTTGAGTATGAACAGCATGTGTTTCTTACTTGTACTAGATATATATATAGAGTGTCTCATAAGGTTGTTGTTGAGAAATTTTATTCTTTATTACATCTTGGGCCTTATAATTTAGTAAGTTTTATGAGTATATTTTTAGTTTTAGTTCTAGTGCTCTTGGCACTAGCTAGGGGATTCTTTTGATTCTCTCCTAGTTTGGAGGTTGATTGTTTTGTATTGTGTTTTTTAGCCTTATAACTCTTTGAGTCCAATGGGCTTGTTCTTTTCACCATTTACTACCATCTTTCTTGAAACCTAATGCATATATAACATCCCCAATATCAGTTGCGAGCATATTATTTTTTGATATTTTTCTATTACTCATGAAAACTTCTTTTCCCTCATTTTATATCCCATGAAAATAATAAATAAATCAAACGGTTATTGTCTTGAGGTAAAGAGCTCTTGCTCGTTACTTGGCAGGAATTGAAAACGGGGCAGAATATTAGTGATCTAGTAAGTGAATCCAAATAAAAATGCTTATTAGATTTGAGCTTTGAAACAAAGAGAATAACGATGCTAACCGAATTGGAAGGTTGTGACCATATGTGACTCAGATGAGGATAGAGTTAGTGACTCTTTAGAAAGTTGAGAGCCTCATCTCAAAAGAAGATAGAGTTAGTGGCTCCTTGCATGACTGAGAGCCTCATCCCCAGATTTGCTTGTTGTGTGGCCTGTGGGACAACTTAAAGAGACCTGGCCAGACCCTCAATGCCGAGCCAACCTGACCACGAATAAATGGACGAGCCGTCCTGGTTACAAATGGGCGGGAACCTCATTACGTAAAGCTCACGAATCCAAGCAAAAGTAGATGAAAACGTACTGCCCACGTTTTCGTAAATATGCCCAAACGGAAAATCACCGCATGATTATCGAGATTGTGTAAATTTGTGTAACCAAATGTTGTAACTTCTCCGTAAACTACCGTGGTCAAGAAATGGAACTTCGGATATTTTTTTTGTCGTGCTTTTGGTTGGCAATATTATCCTCCGCGAGGCGCACGGAAGAATTCGCAGATCTCGGGAAATGCTTCGGCCACATTTGCAAGTACTTTCCGGGCCCTGTCGTTCACAGACAGGCTTAACCGAATCTCACGGGAAAGTAAAAGTCGTCGGTTCTTCTGAATCTAAGTCTTAATTTAGAGGGAACAGTGAACGCCACTCCAACTTCTGTTTCACGTGAAGTTACTTTTTGTATGTGAAAGGTACTTTTTCGGTGCAGAAGTCGTTCAGACATTCTCCAAGGTTACTGACACTCACGATAAGAGCAAATGTGACCGGGGGCTCACAATAATCAAACTTTGCAAATGTGACCGGTGCTTGCGGTGTGGCCAGATCCTTCACTCTTCTAATAGTAGATGCACAAAACATGTAGAATGTTTTACCCTCGCTTGATTCAACACCTTGCTCTCTAAACCATCCATAAAGAGTCAGATTCGCCAGTTGTCTTGCCAGTGAAGACGTACATGGCGCGAGCAGCGAGTCTGCCGGTTGGAATAATTTAGATTAATTTGGAGATACGCGGAGTCGATTCGTGAAAAATTTGGCAGAGCTAGGACAAGTCCATGCTGTAACATGGTACCACACACCCAAATATATATATGTAAATATAAATATATAAAACTGATGTATTCGTTGATTCTGCTCGCCACCACCAATCATTGCACGTGGAGTTACTTTCCAGCTGACGGGCCAGCCTTCTCACCGGCTGTGGACTTAAGTGTCTCCGTGGCGTTCATTTGGACTTCGATGGAACGAAAAGGAATTTCGAGGCAGCCGATGGAGATTTGATGCCAAAGGATTCCACTTCTTCGGGGCCTTCTTGTTTAAGTGCGGGCTCTGCAGCTCATCTTTGCCATCCCTCCCTAGTATCATCAATCTCAAGGCTGAATACGGCCTTTCCCAAGGCAGGCAATGTTACAGACTCTTCAAAGGTCTTTGTAGTCGACACAGAGCAAGAGGGTGCTGCATCACTTTCCAGCGGAGGTTCTTACTAGCGAGGACTTTGGAGTCGAAGAAGCCAGGCTCGAAATTTAATTCAGGTTGGTACACCTTGTTTACCGGAGCCTATCGTCTTTCCTTCTTTGAAATTGTTCTTAATGCTTTCGAAACCAGTCGTTGATCGCAAGTTTTTCGAATCTCAGTCTTGGATTGATGAACCTGGACCGATTTCTGTGAAATGCGAAAGGCGAACTGAGAAATTCAATGTCGTACGCAGCTTCAGAGGTTGACTGGTTACCATGGCGTCGGAACTTGGATATACTGCGATCCCTTAAGCAATCGACTGATTGAGCTCGCATCGCTCTGCCTACGGACCGTCATTGCGCTTGCCAGTCTCCACTTTAATTGTTCGAAAAATTTATGATGACACTTCTCTGTTATTAGATTGTCAGCGAAGCTCAGCCGCACCTAATCCTTTCTTTGGCTTCAATTTGTTACCTGACATCATGGGGCGCTCCCTTTGAGGACGGTTTACCAAAACCTAGCTGCGGATCGAAGAGTCTTTTCACAGCAGGGATATCCCAAGTCACACAAGAAAAGCGCTCGCTAGATACATTGCCGATCAATGAATTAGAGAAATAGTCCAATGGGGACCTGGTAACTAGTTCTGGACAGGGATTTTTTACGAAATTTGTGGAGGTTTCAATTCTACAGGGCGACCAATTAATTGACCTCCGTTTTCCTCGTCACCTCTATCCATACTTTACATTGGCAAAAACATTAGAAGAAATAATACATTAGTGGTGTTGCCGTTTTCTGGAAATCTACATAGATGATGAAGGTAGTCGCCTTCTTTCAAGCGCTAGGAATTACCCTACAGCTTTTACAACTCGTTTTTAGGGGTTGTTTCTTGATACTTTCGACCTGGTTAACGTGATTTCTGTCGGTACTTTGTATTGAACCCGGCAGCTACATTAGATGTTACTACCCACAAAGGGTTGCAAGCTCTACCAGGTGTCTACTTTCTCTGTGACTTCTCTTCTTTTTATGTTTTACACATTGGATTTTATGTGTGATAACCGTAGACTTATGACAGTTTTAGAGTAGTGGTTTTTTCTGAGTTAGAAGTACGATGTGAGTCTTGAAGTAGCCTGTTGTCCAGACACGTTTGTGTGGTCCTGAGTTGATTGTCCACCGTGAATGTCTTCAGTAGGCTGATAGGTAGACAGCTCAAATTAAGAGGAATAATTTCATCTGGGAATATAGATATCATCGGGATATGTAGACGAGCAGTCAATTCAGATCAGGATACTTGCTCTTCAGTGCGCGGAAATTCGAAAGGCGGCCTCCATGACAATGGGCTCCATCTTGACATGCAGGGTCACTGTATGAAAATGTTCAATGTGGAAGCGAAACTTTCACTCAAGTGTTTTCTTCAGTGCTCAAGAGACGTTTTGAAGAGATGTTGAGTGTGTTAGGCTGATCCTGAACTCATGCTCGAGGGAACTGAGAAGCTAAATTCGCTAAGACGCTAAGCTAATTGATCAACGTATCTGAAGAAAATGGTCTGCAAAGAAGACAGTTGAAGAAGCATCACAGAATGTGATTGTTTGTTTTAACACACAAGAAATAATTCATATCAAGTGAGAGGTGTTTCTTCAGAGCTAAGGAATACTTGGAATGTGTTCTAAATGATTAGAAAATCGGAAATGAAATGAGAAGAGAACATGTCTCTCAGTTCCTGAACAGCTGATGATCGTAGTATCATCCAATCGTAAGTTACAGAAAGAAAAATATCTCACCCCTTGAAGTTCTCATGAGAACCGTTGCTTTAACCGATACCCAAAATTAACTTAGACCAATTTAGAATATATATATTGTTACCGTTCATAAGTGTGCGCATTGACCATAGAGTAATTGAATGTAAGCCAGCTTATAAGATGAAAAGCGCTATGTGCATGGTAAGTCTTGAAAATAACACATGAATACTGATAGCAAACTGACAATAATCACAATTAACCATGTAGCATGCGATAGTGGAAGGAAATGTTTCAAGCTAAATTTTCTTTCTACCAGCAACCAAATTTTATTTTAAGTATTGACAGGCTTATTGAAGCTTGTGAGCATTCGTATACATGTGATTGATTGTACACGAACTCTCAAAATAAGAAGCACGTCTAAAGTATTATTATATAAGATGATAGTTTTGTTATAGACCATAATATCCATTACTGACAACACTTCTTATTGCAGTATGTATAGCAATGAAAACATAATCTCTAGAATAATCTTCATAATGAACTACGGAATGAAAACGAAATACAAAAGCACATCTGAATGGATTAAATTGAGTTTTTCTAGAAAATTTATCAAGTCAAATCCAAATCAGTTTCCAGAGAAGACAACCTTATTGAAGCTAAAAAAGCCTTTAACATTAAAAAAAATATTTAAGAACATAATCTCATACAGAGAAATCAAATACTCTGTAAACTATTATACTCCTCCCAAGCCTCGAGAGAATTTTAATATTTCTCTCCCTTAGTGTCATGGACAATATACACTTGGGAGTCCTAGTAGCGGTGGCAATGACTTTTTTCAACTTCGGATTCCTAGTTCCCATTATTCTTTCCAACTTCGGATTAGTAGCAATGTCTATGACTCTTTCCAACTTTCTATTAGTAACGCTGGTGGTGACTCTTTCCAACTTCGGATCAGTAGCGATGGTAGTGACTCTTTCCAACTAGTAACTAGGGACACTAGTAAAGCTGGAGTAATAGTAAAGGTGGCGGTGCATCTTTTCAAGTTATTAATCCTAGTAATCCTTGGGCTTCTTTGGAGTATATATAGAAAGATTCAGAACGTAGTTCCTCACTTTCGTCAATACTAGTAACATGCAGACTAGGGCGACACCCGTTTTTGCTAGGGCCACACCCGCTACATACAAACAACTGATTGCGCGTCAAAGCACGCCTCCCCTCAAACCCAGCTGCTAAGCCGAGCTCGTCCGCGAGGCAGAGGAGAGCGTAGTCGAGAGGCTTTGAGTGGCGCAGGGCCGCTACGGCCGTCGCTTTCTCCCGCGTTGCTGAGGCTTGGGCAGTAGCAGTGCGCTTGGGTTGTAGCAAAAGCGGGCATGGGCATGGTAATTAGCGGGCGGGTGTGGCCTTAGCAAAAACGGATGTGGCCCTATTCTGGCCCTACTAGTAATACCTACTTTTCCAATTATCAAAACTTGTGGTAACCCACTTTTGGTATTTTTGCGGAATTTTAAACATTTTTGGAAAACTGTACCACGGCAGCAGTGAAAATAGCCATCGGTACATTAAAATAGAGTGAAACTGGATGATCTCGGAGAATCTCGTAGAATCCAGGAGTTGGGCGCAATGTCTGGAACAGGTGCCACCCTAAACGACGGCCTCTGAAGGAGTATTCCTTCGGCGCAAGGCGCATAATCCGCCTTCGGCGCTAGAGGAATCCCTCAGAATCTAAGCAATTCCCAAACGCCTTGACTTGGTTAGGGTCTCGTTGAAAAGAGCTTGACGCGCTGGTTCTAACGAGCCTAAGAACGCTTGGAACGGATCAGGACTCAGGGAGTTGTGACGGTCGAAAGATACAAAGACCTTCGCCTACGCATAGGCGAGGGAAGTTCGCTTACGCGTAGGCGAAATAGGGTTTGACGTCGGCGGGGAGTCCGCCGAGAATCCCGCCTACGCATAGGCGACTCCCTGTGGATAGGCGACCCCTTGCGGACGTAGACTTGTGCCTACGCATAGGCAAAGAAAGTTCGCCTACACATAGGCAGTACTCACCCCCGGTGCAACGCAGAAAGGGCAAGGAGCCGGCGGAAGACCCGCCTTCGGCTCAAGGGCCTTTGGGACAAGGCCCTCCGGCGGAGAGATCGCCGGGATATGCGCCTTCGGCGCCAAGGCCTTCGGGCCACCGGGTTACAACCAGAGAGCCGGCGGAAGCCGCGCCTTCGGCGGGAAATCCGCCGGAAGGTGTGCCTTCGGCGGAAGGGCCTTCGGGCCAAGGGACATCGGGCGGGCCGTCTTCGGCTCAACCGCCTTCGGCGGTAGACGCCTTTGGCACTGCGCCCTCGGCGGAAGAAGCGCCGGGAATTGCACCTACGCGTAGGCCGGACGCATCCCTGGCGCATGACCTAAGGGTGGAGCAAGACCGATCGGTGGAGCGGATTGACTGTCCGCACGGTGAAATTCGTACGCGCGATGCACAATTACACCCCGCGCAGGTACATTCCGCACGATCGCCTTCGGCGGTAGACGCCGGCGGCGAAGAGGTTACAGTCGCGGCACGATAGGCGGACGATGGGAATTTGGCACGGCCGCATTCACCCACCGCCTTGGACATTTTAGGAGGGAGCAGCGAGGCTGCAGGAGCGCCAGCGGCGGCAGAGCACGCAGACATCTAGCAGCCCCGCCCAGGCCGGTCGCCGACGCATTCAATGGCGACCGAAATCCTCAATTCGGAGGAGGATCCACGGAATCAGTGTCGGGATCGGGATCCACCGAGGAGGAGGAGGAGGAATTGGTAGGTGCGCCGGCGGCGGCGCTCTGCGAGCAGGTAGTACCTCTGCTGAGGTACTTGGATCGCAAGATGGAGAAGTACGCGGACCCTCGCCAGCATGGGTCCTACGTCGAATTAGTGCGCAGGCGAACTCGCACTAAAGTCCACACCAGCAAGTTGCTGGCCCGTGTGAACCAGGAACTTAAGGCTCTGCGGGAGAAGCATGAGTGCTTGTGGGGTCAGTACAACCTCAATAAGAAGGTGTACAAACATTTCGACAGGGTGAAGGATGAGAGGCTGGAAGAGTTCGTCAAGGAGCAAGCGAAGCTCACAGAGGCGCTGGATTCTAAGCAGGCTTAGAATCGAATTTTTTCAGAGGAGCTCGTGCGACAGACGCGGTTGTTAGAGGAGTGTCAGCTCGCACGACAGGCGGATGAGGAATTAATCCGCAGACTGCAGTCCGAGTGCGGGGAATTGAGAGCACAGCGTGCGGAGGCCGAATTGCAATTGGTTGTAGTTGAAGACGATCGCCGGAGGGAGGCAAATCGCACGAAGGAAGAGATGGCGAGGCGAGTCACCCACTGTCTCAGGGGCTACGCCCACTGGGAAGTGGCGGCGCAGGAGAAACTCACACTGCGTGAGTTAGAGCTGAGGGTTGTTGACAGGTGACAGTCAGAGTCGGCGGCGAGTGGCGAAGAAGCTGGATTCTTTTCTGTCGAAGTCACGGGACACCATGGCAACCCTTGAGACGGAGGTTTCCGCGGTGTTGCGGCGATTGGGACTGCGCAGTCAAGCTGAGGACTGGCAGGGTAGGGAGTTAGTGCGCGGCAGTCCGTCGCGTAGGAGGCGAAGCACAGGTTGCTACACCTTGGCGATCCGCATTGTGTAGCTGAAGGCCTTCGGCCGAATGTTCAGAGCTAGTAAATTGGTTAGAGACTTGAGTAGTTCGGATCTACACCTGCGGGTGATTGCCGATGCTCAAAGCCAGTGACGAGTTAGATACTTGAACAGTTTCCCCCTTACACCTTCGGGTGATTGTTTCTGATTGTACTCCTTCGGGATTTTTCCCCTAAATGCCAAAGTGAAGTTTTGCTACTTTGTGTAAGCCTTGGTTGTAAATTCAGGTTACGCTGCAGCAGGTGCCTTCAGGGTAACCCGTGTAGTATTTTTGGGAATGACAAGTGCCTTAGAATTCAAACTCTTCAATAGACTGTTATGGTGTGTTACTGGAACGTTTCTCCGTGAGTCCTTCCGTGCGGACCTGTGTTCTCTGCGCGTTTTGTGAGTTGAGAGTGTTGTTCACCGCGTATGAGTGACTTTGATCCGAAGTAGGAAGTCCAACCCGGGTTCCCTACGCTAGCAGAAAGCTAGTGGAAGGGTTGTAAAAGCCGGAGTTGGGAGTCACTACCCGTAGCTTAGCTGAGTGCTCGCGAGAGACTTTCCCCCTGAA